TTCATAACGTCTCCCTCCCTTACGGGGGCTGTTGCATCAGTGTCCCCACAGAAATCCTGGCTCGAGCCAACTTCATCTTTTACCTCGCAGGCCATGAAAAGTCTGTCCAAATGGATGACTGGCAGTTCGGTTAGAGAGACAGGAGAGGAATAACAGGGAGACTGTACTTCAGGCTTTCTTCCTTCAGAGGACCAGCTCCACAAAGGGATGAATGTGTACTCTCGTGTTCTGGTGTGGACCTCCAAACACACTGAATGATCAATATTTCAATAACGGCATAGCTGAAAAACAAAATAAAGCACAGGAGTGTAAAAAACAAAGGCATGGGAATTAAGTATTCATCTTCAGTCTTTTATGTTTTTGTAGAATTTCCACAGAAATACTGGGTCTCTGTTCAATAGCAGCTACATATCAAAGGAAAAGAAGGGGAGGTGATGGGAAATGTCTTTTATGCAAACTGTGGGTGGAGGTGAAACCAGGTGAAACTTTACATGAATTGGATTAGAGTTAGGATACAGCAACTCAGACTCACAAAAAGAGGCTTTACAGTAAATACATAAAAATCAAAATGACATAAAGATTTACACTTAATGTTTTTCTTAAATATTAAAAAAATAATAAAACTAAAGTGCACTGGAATGGATGCAGGACAAATAAAATTAAAATAATGTTAAAAAAATTGATCTTCACATCAAAGTTCACATTGCATAAATTCACTGAAGTGACGTTTTGAGTTCTTCAGACAAAAGTTACTTTGATGACACTGTTCATGGTTGAAATGGACCAAACTGAAAAATACAGTGAGATCTGATATGCACGTTACACAAATCAAGAGGACTCTTATGAACAAAACAAAGAGGATTTAGGGATTAAGGATGGATCTGACTCAATAAAACAGCAGAGTTCTTTCACAGCCTTTTCATTTGCACTGGAAACAGATGAAAACTGAATATAAAATACATTTTGTTCTTTATTTTTCTTAGTTTGAACAGTACAGAAACATTCAACTTGAGAAATTTTTGCCAATCTTGCAGAGTCCTCTTTAATTAAAGTGTCCTCTGAATCTACATCAAAGTCCTCATCAGAGTTGGGAATACACCGAATCCTGCTGAACTGAGATGAAGGCAGGTTCTTCCTAATGAAGTTTGGGTGGACAGGATGAGTCATCATGTAAAAAAACTGTTTCTATCTGTTAGTTTTATGTAAAAAATGAGTTTTTATTTTATTATTTAGCTTGTTGACACATTATTCCAAAACGTTTATATGGCAGAGTGCATCCTAAATGTCCATACATTATCTTTTACCCTCTGCTTCCTTTCAGGATCATGGGGTCCCGGTCACCGGAGCCCATGTCCAGCAGCCACTGTGTGAGGGGCAGGGTACACCGGTCTCCAGTCCATCATAGGCCAAATGAGAAACAACTACAATCTCACCCACACAGTAAAATCAAAAGTGAAATGTGAAATATTAAACTTACTTACTTGCTTTATTTCACCTTTCAACCAAATGGCTTCTTCACTTTAGATGAGAGGTAAAACTTCTTGATAAAATCAGTGAGGAAGCCCTTTATTGAAGCCCTGTGAATTGCTGTGTCTTGGATGACTAACATTAGTCTTTCAGGATTCTGAACTCAAATTCTCCTTCTTCTCTGACAAGTTAATGATTACTGCCTTAAAACACCAAAACACCTGAGTGAATGTCATGTATTTTTTTTCTTTTTACGTCACCATTTCTCCAACTGTTGTATAGAAATGTGGGGACAAAAAATACAAGCAGATAATTTTGCTTATGTGCAATCATCTGATGTTCACGTTCTCATATTGTTCCTGGGGGTTTTGCTTTTTTTAAATCTTTTATCTTTCAACGGCTGCTGCCCTGTTGCTGTCACTGATCCGTCCTTGAACYTCCCGCTGACCTGTCAGGATGGAAGATGTCTTAAAACGTTTAGGTTTGTCTGTAACTCTGAGGGGAGTTCATACATAAAAGAAGTAAAACAGGCATGAGAATGACTCAGGAAAGGACGACATCCAAATGTCGCACAAGTAAAGAAAAACACGTCACATTGTTCAGAAATCCACAGGGCAGGTGACTACCTGTGATGAATGGTTAGGACGTTTCAGCCTGCAGCTCAAATATCC